CAAGAATAAAATTAATCTAGCAAAAGGATGTTATAAGTATAAAATAAAACAGAGGATGCATGAGCCAATTCTCAAAAGTAAATATAACTATTCAAAAAAAAAAAAAAATTGCAAAATATGCCTACAGAAGGTGACCTAAAATGCAAAAGTGTTGAGGCAGCAAGAAAGTTAAGACACCGGAGAGTTCCATTTTCCCTTCTACTAAACACAACATACTTTCCTAAAAATGAAGTCAAATTCAAAGGCATAACTTTCATTTGAAACAAATTACCTCAAGTGGAGAGTTGCACTTACCAGAGAGATGAAATTGAAGATTTTCTAGGTTCCTTTTTTGGGCAGCTCTATCTTCTTTCAGACCATAAACAAATTCATTCACAAGAACTACCAAAAAAAAAAAAAAGACACAGAAAATTGAGGTTGGTGGAATTATACTACTTTAATAACGGAACAGTAGAAATGAAATAAAAAAGAAAAACAATTATAGTAATTAGGAAAAAAAAAATGTAGTAGGTCAAAATAGACGAACTCGAACAAAAAGAGAAGCCTCAAATGGTTTAATTTACAAGACAAACATGTAAGAACATGAAGAAGCTTTAAATGGGTTGACTGAAAACTACATAAAATTAAAAGAATTAACTACAAAATTTGCAAAAATTGGTGTTTGAAAGAGAAATATATTATACTCTCTTTGAAAGTGGTACGAAGGCTGATCGTGGAACGAACTCAGGTGGCTTATCGTTGAGCTTACTACTAACAGATGCAAGGTTACTAAATCGGCAGCTACAAATAACTTCGAGAGAAAGGCAAAGGCAAAGGGCTATTTTGATAAACTTTTTGCTTTTCTAGTCATAGCTAAAATATTCAAATTCAACAATATTGCACCAGCATACTAAAAAAATTTCAAAACTAATCCAAAAGAATATTTCAAAAAAATTGGCACATGTAATGGTGAAAGGGTGGACAAAAATCCGTCAAAAGCAGAGGTGGAGGGCTAAACATCAGCAACAACAGTAGAATCCTTATGCCCTCTCGGAAGCAACTTTTTGTGACTGTATATACAAATAAACCAGCAAATCAAACTCATTAACTCCAAAGAAGTATAAGAAATTGAACAATTGGCTTGAGCATAAGCATTAGTTGAGCCAATTTTTAGGTAGTAGTTTAACGAATCATTTGATCTTACCCCAACACAAATCAATAAACACACACATACTACGGAAAACACCAGCAAAGCCATCAGCCTTTTCAATTAGCTCATCAACAGGCAATGCAACAATTGACTCGTCTTTGTTATTTCCTAGTAAAGAAGATGAATGATACATGTTGGTACCCATTCCCAGACAACACCCTGTTTCCTTTGCTATTGCTAGCTGATCCTCTGGTAGAGATTATTAAATAAGCAATATTGAAATTTAATACAAACAGTAAATGTCTCACCGAGAAGAGAGAATGTTTTCTTCCAGTTGAAAAACAATATTCGAGTTATAAGTGCTACATTATTCCAGTGAATGCATTGTGTGGATGAAGGTAAAAATGGATAAAAATGTTTCCTAAAACTTCAATTAGAAACCCATTCTGAAACATTTTTTTCTGGAGTTCTATTAAACTCATTAAGAAATAGAGAAAGGTAATACAACCAAGAAATCACAGTGATTTACAAGGAAAACTTTTTAAAGCCTAAATCTAGTGCTATGAAATATGTAGTGTAAACCTAGCGAACTATTTAAAACGAAAATTAGCTACGTCCTATAACAACAACATAATTACAAGTTCCACCAGCATTCATCTTTTTGATTTTCAATGTTTTAAACATGCTTGTACATAATGGGCAATAAAAAAAAAACTCTAAAAGAAAATGGAGCAAGAAGTTAACTAATCAAGCGATTACTACCCAACTACAAAAGTAAAAATAAGTTGCAACACTAAAATTTGTCTAGTACATTAGCTTCAAAGTAAATTAACTCTATTTATATTTGTCTAATTCACTTTGAATCTCCTACTTAGAGGAGTATTAATGTGCCGCAATTTTAACTGAAGATATGCTCACCCGTAATCATCTTAACATTCACCCCAAGATTCAGGGCCCTTCTGATTGTCTCAGCACCGTTGTGCTTGGGTGGATCAAAAAGAGGCAAAAGTCCTATAATTGCCATAGACCTCCCGGACTGTCCTCCTTTCGTTCAGGAACTTCCTGTAAAATATTAAGCTTATCAAATACATGAAAGTTAATTTAACGAAGCGCTTTGTTTTAATAATATGATGTAGAACAAACAATCAAACAGAGAAAACACATTACTTTGTGTACCACTGCAAGTAATTTTAATCCACGCTCAGCAAACTTATCAATCACAGAATGAACTCTCCGCTGTATGTCTGATTTGATGTGTGCAAGACCCAAGATTTAGAAATAATATACCACTGCAACTAATATACGCGTGAGAGATCAAAACCATAAACATTTAGAAAGTAACTAAGGAAGCTCAAAATGCTATATCAAGACCTGATAATAGTGCAATTATCACGTT